TGTGCGCGCGTGTGTGTGTGCGTGTGTACGTGTGTGTGAGTGTTTGTGTGTGTGCATATGTGTGTGTGTGCGTGCGTGCATGTTTATGTGGTTTATGGGGGACACACATTTGTATAATAACATGGGTATGACATAGGTATTACAACGAGAAGGTGATTTATGAGGACATTTTCAGTGTCCCCGTCCAGTGTCCACACAGTTTCAAAAGGCTTATAAATAATTCAGAATGAGTTTTTTAGAAAATCTGAAATAGCAGAAAGTCTCCTGTGAGGGGTAGGTTTAGGGATAGGGATGTGTGTGCGTGTGTGTGTGTGAGTGTTTGTGTGTGTGCGTGTGTGCGTGTGTGTGTGTGTGTGTGTGCCCGCGCGTGTGTGTGTGTGTGTGCGCGCGTGTGTGTGTGCGTGTGTGTGTGTGTGTGAGTGTGTGTGAGTGTGAGTGAGTGAGTGAGTGAGTGAGTGCGTGCGTGCGTGCGTGTGTTGTGTGTGTGTGTGTGTGTGCGCGTGTGTGTGTGTTAGTTTGTGTGTGTGTGTGTGTGTGTGTGTGCGCGTGTGTGTGTGTGTGCGCGTGTGTGCGTGTGTGTGTGTGTGTGTGTGTGTGTGCATGTGCGCATCACTGATTTGTTGACTCCTCCCTCTTTTTGTGACAGGCATCAATGTATCTTGCTGCTAGTAAGATACAATCTTGTTTTTCACCTAATAAATATTGAAGTTGTGTTTTCTTGTTTAACAGATTCTCATTTTTACGGAATGATATCGATTCTTAAATCCCAAGAATTGATTAGTATAGCCTGTTTTCAGTTAATGGACGGAATATTGAAGGGCACTTTCCATCCAACATATCGCAATAAGCATTGTGCTTTGGTACTTTTAATATGAAACAAAGTCTCAGATTTCAAATTCTGTCCATTGTATTGCAGTATTCAAACAATAAATGCTGTTTTGGTGCTGTTTAATGTGAAGTGACAGATTGCTGTAGCGCCTCAGTGAACTGATCATCTCCTCCGCTTTATTACTAGTTATAGCACAAAATAAACATGACTAAACATCCGAAGGTAAGTTAAAAGAAAGAGTACATCTTTACAATCCGTACCCTGTCTCATGTAATCGCTCAATCAGTGTTTCAGCAGCGCAAAGACCTCAATATAACGGCTTGTAAACAATGTCCGGTGTCTCCACTACTAATAATATTCGGTGACCATAAACCCATTAGTCAGCTAGAAAAATATCGCAAGCGTGTGAATGAGAATCGAATCAAACCGAATCGTGAAATTTGTGTCAAAACCCAGCCCTATTAAAAAACCATAACAAGCGATGTCCGACTTTGATAGCTCTCTCCTTAAATATGAACAACAGATTAATGAGTTACTCCACATTTCACAAAAAGCTTATGGACATGATTATAATATAAGTCAGACACTGAAGTGAGTTGCTGTTTCGGCTATCTTATGTGTTCTTACTCCGCACATGTATTGAATAAATATATATACATATTCAATACATGTGTAGAGTAAGAACATATAAGACCCAAAGTGTTAGAAACACACGAGCAGAGTTCAGCTGAATGATAAAGTTTATCCTCTTTAACTTTGTTGTTCTGCTGTTTTGTGTTCATCTGCTCTTTTTACATTGACTATCTCTATATAGACTAAAGCCCTATTCGGACGGGACTAGTTTTCTAAACTATTCACTACAGCTGCACTACAGACCGTTCAATTCCAGTGTTATCAGTTATCAGTGATATGTGTATGTTATGTATTTATTTTAGCAGTTATTTAGACCAGCACATTTAACTCTTGAAATATGTTTATTTGCCCCTTTGTAACAAAATGTCTTATTCTTTTGTTTTATCATGCTTGCATAGATGGGTCATTTTTGAAAAAAATAATTTAGTTTAATTTGAATTTGTTATTTGTGTGTTTGTGTGTGTGAGTGTTAGTTTGTGTGTGTGTGTAATTTGTTATTTGTGTGTGTGTGTGAGTGTGAGTGTTAGTTTGTGTGTGTGTGTAATTTGTTATTCGTGTGTGTGTGTGAGTGTGAGTGTTAGTTTGTGTGTGTGTGTAATTTGTTATTCGTGTGTGTGTGTGAGTGTGAGTGTTAGTTTGTGTGTGTGTGTAATTTGTTATTCGTGTGTGTGTGTGAGTGTGAGTGTTAGTTTGTGTGTGTGTGTAATTTGTTATTTGTGTGTGAGTGTGACTGTGTGTGTGTTTGTGTGTGAGTGTGTGTGCATGTTTGTGCGTGAGTGTGTGTGTGTGTGTGTGTGTGAGTGTGTTTGTGTGTGTGACTGTGTGTGTGTTTGTGTGTGAGTGTGTGTGCATGTTTGTGCGTGAGTGTGTGTGTGTGTGTGTGAGTGTGTTTGTGTGTGTGTGTGAGTGTGTGTGTGAGTGTGTGTTTGTGCGTGTGTGAGTGTGAGTGCGCGTGCGAGTGTGCGTGTGCGTGAGTGTGAGTGTGAGTGTGTGTGTGTGAGTGTGCGTGCGCGTGTGAGTGTGCGTGAGTGTGTGTGCGTGTGCGTGTTTGTGTGTGTGCGTTTGTGTGTTTGTGTGTGTGTGCGTTTGTGTGTTTGTGTGTGTGAGTGTGTGTGCGTGTTTGTGCGTGTGCGAGTGTGAGTGTGCGTGCGTGTTTGTGCGTGTGTGAGTGTACGTGCGTGTGCGAGTGAGTGTGCGTGCGTGTGTGAGTGTGAGTGTGTGTTTGTGCGTGAGTGTGAGTTTGTGTGAGTGTGTGTGTGTGAGTGTGCGTGCGCGTGTGAGTGTGTGTGCGTGTTTGTGTGTGTGTGTTTGTGTGTGTGTGCGTTTGTGTGTTTGTGTGTGTGCGTTTGTGTGTTTGTGTGTGTGTGCGTTTGTGTGTTTGTGTGTGTGGTGAGTGTGCGTGCGTGTTTGTGCGTGTGTGAGTGTGCGAGTGTGAGTGTGTGTTTGTGCGTGTGTGAGTGTGAGTGTGCGTGAGTGTGAGTGTGTGTGTGTGAGTGTGTGTGTGTGTGAGTGTGTGTGCGTTTGTGTGTGTGTGTTTGTGCGTGCGTGTGTGTGTGTGCGTTTGTGTGTGTGTGTGCGTGTTTGTGTGTGTGCGAGTGTGAGTGTGTGTGCGTGTTTGTGCGTGTGTGAGTGTGCGTGCGTGTTTGTGCATGTGTGAGTGTGAGTGTGCGTGAGTGTGTGTGTGTTTGTGTGTGTGTTTGTGTGAGTGTGTGTGTGAGTGTGTGTGTGTGTGTGTGCGTGAGTGTGAGTGTGCGTGAGTGTGTGCGTGTTTGTGCTTGTGTGAGTGTGAGTGCGTGTTTGTGCGTGTGTGAGTGTGAGTGTGCATGTGCGTGAGTGTGCATGTGCGTGAGTGTGTGTGTGTGTGTGTGTGTGTATTCATATATTTTTGTCTTTTGTCTTTTTTGAGCAACAGTAGGCAGTATTGTAATATTTGGTTCCTGTCAGACTCTCACCACTAGGTGTCGTCTGTTGCTCTCAGGCAGTAAGCAGACTCGGGCTGACAGCTCTTCTCTGAGCCGTTTACTGCGTCTGAACAGATCAGTGTGTCTGCTGTGATCACTGAGTGTCTCCTGAGACTGCTGTCCGTCTGTAGCGCCTCCAGCTCGCTGCATCCTGATCCAAACGCTGTGATCAGCACTTTACAGCAGCATTGATTTACTGCTTAACGCCACAGAAATACAGCAGCCCCGCGGGAGACCTGTCAATCATCACAGAGCCACGCCCACCTCTTTGTGTCAGCGGGTGGAGGAGGGGCTTGACTGTAGAGCTGTGAATCCAGGGTCACTTCTGTTCATTATATCTGTGAATCAGAGTGTGTGCAGAGGTGCATTATGGGTCACATTCTCACTGCTTAAAGGGAATAGGTGCGATAGTCGTTAAATTTGCGAATGAATAATCATTAAGGACATATTTATTGTTTATTTTCATGGGCAAAATCCAGTCACTTCAATAGGAATCAATGTGTTTTCTAATGAGGGCGAAACTTCTGCACACAGATTTCGCTCTGGGTTTAAGTTGGTCATGTGAATTTACCGTGTTCGTTAACCATGTTCATGCAAAACCTGGAAATATGAGGGAGGATCTTAAAAATCATGGATTTATCTATATACAGTTTTTTAAATTGTGTACAACATTTTTTTAATTTCCTAGAAATTGTTTTTATGGAACCCTGTTTTCGCCACAGAAAAAAGATAATTGCAAAATATGTGTGTTTTAACATATATATATATATATATATATATATACACACACACACATATTTTTCTGTGGCGGAAATGGGCTTCATAGTTTTATAGAGCAATATATATATGTGTGTGTATATATTTTCTATATTTGCAATATAAATACCTTGTACCTATATTTGCAAAAAATAATAAATTTAATTCATTTAAATAAATTCAAATGCATAATTTCAAAGGTTTTTTAAAGTTATAAATGAAATATAAAATATAGTTTTTATTAGAAATTGACGTTTTTTTTAAATTGTGCAATATATATTTTCTGTGGCGGAAATGGGCTTCATAGTTTTATAGAGCAATATATATATGTGTGTGTATATATTTTCTATATTTGCAATATAAATACCTTGTACCTATATTTGCAAAAAATAATAAATTTAATTCATTTAAATAAATTCAAATGCATAATTTCAAAGGTTTTTTAAAGTTATAAATGAAATATAAAATATAGTTTTTATTAGAAATTGACGTTTTTTTTAAATTGTGCAATATATAAAATTTATTTTAAAAAATATTTATCCAGTGATCACAAGCGTGTGTAAAATAAATTATTTCGTTTTTGAGTTTTTAAAAAAAAATCTAATGACACTTTATTTAGCGTCAGTAAAAAACAAATAAAAACAAAACTGAGATGACTTGAAAAAAAACCCATTTGCAATATGTTCAATTTGCTGTTTGAGAAAAAAACGATAATTTTTAAAATGATTCAAATATTATCATTCACATTTCTGTGAATGATTCCACCTATATTTGCATGATCACACATGTCTGGAGAAGTCCTAGACAATCTTGCAGATTGATTGGTGGTGAAGTACTAGTATTAGTATTAGTGTGAGTGAGAGTATTGTGCTGTTATAATGACAGTCTGTCAGCTGCGGGGCAGTTTTCAGGGGCAGCGGGGGCTTTGCATTAGCGGCTGTTATCAAGCCTGTGACAGATGTATACTCTTGACTTCCTGTTGACTGGGGAACACAGAGGGGTTAGATAGTCCTCAGCCTTCCCCCATCGCTGTAGCTACACCCTTCAGCCGAAAGCCTGGCCTGCAGAGATACTCCGCTCCACACGCGTGTGTTTACTGCAGAGAGCATCAGACGCCCGCAGCATGACGAACCAGCTCGACACACTCGGTGAGAATGGAGCTTTCTGCTGGATTATTCACTGCTTTTGGCTTTGATTACTTGATTTTATGCAGGGTTTGACTTAATATCAATTTCATTTTAAAGTACTTTATTGGCATGATCGTGTTTGCAATATTAGCAGAGTGCATTACGTGTGTGTGTGTGTGTGTGTGTGTGTGCGTGTGTGTGTTAGTTTGTGTGTGTGAGTGTGTGTGTGTGTGTGTGCGCATGTGTGTGCGTGTGTGTGTGAGTGTACACAAAACAAGTAATGACAAGAAAAATAAATATGCAATATAACAATAAACATAAAATGGTGTTAAAGAAAGTAATTCATAAAAATAAGATAAAAAACGATAAATTCATTAAATAATTATAAATGTATAATTATATTTAAATACATAATTATAAGAAAAAATAATTATAAAACTTATATATCTATAATTAAATAAATTAAAAATTAATACAAGTAAAAATTATTATTTATATATTTAATTAAATAATAATAAATGACAAATAACATTTTAAATAATATGCATAAATTAAAAGTAATAAAATGTGTGTGTATATGTATTTGAATGATAATAAATTAAACATTATATAATTAGAAATAATGCAATTAATTGCTTATATATGTAATTAAATTATAATACATTTTCAATACAATTTTAAGTAATAAATTATATAAAAATGTATTAAAGTAATGACAAGAAAAATAAATATACAATATACAAATAAATATAAAACGGTGTTAAAGAAAGGTACTAAGTAATTCATAAAAATAAGATAAAAAAACGATTAATTCATTAAATAATTATACATTTATAATTATATTTAAATACATAATTATAAGAAAAATATCTATATATGAAATAATTATTATTAAATAATAATTATAAAAAATATATTATATCTATAATTAAATAATAAATAAAAAATTAATACAAGTAAAAATAATTATTTATATATTTAATTAAATAATAATAAATGACAAATAACATTTTAAATAATATGTATAAATATCAATTAAATTAAAAGTAATAAAATGTGTGTGTATATGTATTTGAATGATAATAATTTAAACATTATATAATTAAAAATAATAAAATTAATAGCTTATATATGTAATTAAATAATAATACATTAAAGATCAATACAATTTTAAGTAGTAAATTCTATAAAAATGTATTAAATAAAAAAATAATAATTCAGAATGTCTATATTTGATTGAATGATAATAAATAAAAAATCAATACAATTAAATAATTTAATTAATATATATAATAGACATTTATCAAGACATTATAAAGAAAAAAATACTATAATATATGTTTGTGGCTGGTCTTTGAATCGTAGTCTTCCTCCAGTAACGTCTGCATCACTGATATGATATAGAGTCAAAGCTGCTTTTCAGAGTGAACTGACATTTAGAGAGACTCTGCACTGGTCTTTAGAAACAAACTGAACCCTAAAACCATGCATATTTACCCAGTGTATTGTGTTGCAGAGCTGCTTTGTGCTTCTCCCAGCATGCTTTAGTAAAGTTAAACACGGGACCGCAGTGCATCTCTAAACGGGTTTATCGGCTCAGAGATCTGATCCCAGAGCGGTTCTGAAGGATCTGAGCGCGTGTTCAGCGCGGCGTGGGTCGGGTTGAGCTGTGGTTCTGACAGCTAAAGCTGAGTTTGACCCCCACAAACATCAGGAGATTTACCTCTGTGTAGCCTTAGAGCGTTTCCATAGTGACCGCGGGAACTGCTTCAGATCAGACAAACATGTTGATGCATGTTTCGTGACCTCAGGACTTTTTATTGGCCCATGTGCCTGTTGTATTCTGTGTTTATATTCATGCACAGCATCTCTGGCTTGTGTTTTGGTGCATATAACATGAAGAGGCTCTTTGGAGACGAGTAATGACAAGAAAAAGACATTTATAAAATATACTAATAAATAAGAATTGTATTAATATGAGGTGTTAATAAAAAATGTATAAAAAAATAAACAAATAAATGTAATAATTATAAATATGTAATTATATTTAATTAAATTATAATAGATTTAAAAACAAATAAAATGAAAAATAATAAACTTAATTAAATATATACAATTAATAATAAATTAAAAATAACCAAAAAGAATAAACATTTAAAAAGTAATATATATATAACTTATTTTCTTATTTTTCATTTTATTTATAATACATTTCTTTGATATATAAATTAATAATAAATTAAAAATAAACAAAAATAATACAAATAAAAAGTGATATATAATTTATTTATTTATAATACATTTTATTTATACAATAAGGTGCAAAAATAATTGACAAAAATAAGATAAAAAATAGAAAATAAATAAATACATTTAAATTTAATTAAATAATAAATAAATTATAAAAATAATACATTTAATTAAATATACGGTACATATGATAATATAATTATATATATATATATATATATATATATATATATATATATAATATTTATTTTATTTTTTGTGTATTTTTTTTAAATAAGGTGATAATTGATAAAAAATAAGAAATTAATTCAATAATTATACATATATAATTATATTTAAAATAAATCAAATTAGATTATAGTAATAATACATTAAAAATAATAAAATGTAAAATAGTAAAATAAATAAATGTACATTTATCAAGACATTATGAAGAAAAACAATCTTTGTATTAATATATGTATGTGGATGGTGTTTAATCTGCTGTTGAGGGGTAACTGTCTTCCTCCAGCAATGGGTCAGCATCTCAAAAATATCAGAAACATATATGCATGACATGCAGATGCACTGCAACATGTTTTGACAGCGTGACGTGAACCTGGACTGTTTGTCAGTCTATAACCTCATCTGCATTGATTATCCAGCTCTGCGTTAAGTGGCTTACCATCGACCTGGGTCAGAATTGATTATCTGAAATTCCCAGCTGTGTAATTGTCATTTATCGGCCGCTTGTCAGTCGAAGAGTGTCACGCTATGAAGTGGACTAATACAGTTGAGATGTCTGCATGTGTAATTGAATCATTGGTTTGCTTTGACAGGCTTGAGTATGCTAATCTCATCAGGAGTGTGTGTTATGGTGTTATTAATGCTTTATATTATGACTTGCTGACTAACAACAAAATGCATGTTCTTTGAATGAGTTTTACAGGCCTTTGCGTCTGAGTTCTGCATGAAAGCCTGTAAACTGATCAGAATGTAAGCTGCACTTGGTGCTGTAGAGTTCATGTGTGCATTTGTAAGTCATGATTTATTTCTTTATCGGTCGATACGTGAAGTGATGACAGAGAGAGATGTGAAAAGTGCTTAGCAAGCAAACAGCGCTGGGGAGGGAGGCAGACAGATCCATCTCTGAGACACAGCGTTTTAGCTCATTATTTCTCATGCAAATAAAATAGACTGCATTCAATCGAATTTAATTGGAGATTCAGATGGGGCACAAAATGCACAAACGTGTCTCAAACATTCGATCTGCCTGTTCCTAATTATATTCAGCATGATCGTGTTTACTTACAATATTGTCAAAGCATTAAACACAAGTAATGTCTAGAAAATTAAATGTACAATATAACAATAACAAATAACCATAAAAATAAGAATGCAAAGTAATTAATATATATGTGTGCGTGCGTGTGTGTGTGTGAGTGAGTGTGTGTGTGTGTCTGTGTGTGTGCGTGTGTGAGAGAGAGAGAGAGAGTGTGTGTGTGTGTGTCTGTGTGAGTGAGTGTGTGTGTGTGTCTGTGTGAGTGAGTGTGTGTGTGTGTCTGTGTGAGTGAGTGTGTGTGTGTGTCTGTGTGAGTGAGTGTGTGTGTGTGTCTGTGTGAGTGAGTGTGTGTGTGTGTCTGTGTGAGTGAGTGTGTGTGTGTGTCTGTGTGAGTGAGTGTGTGTGTGTGTCTGTGTGAGTGAGTGTGTGTGTGTGTCTGTGTGAGTGAGTGTGTGTGTGTGTCTGTGTGAGTGAGTGTGTGTGTGTGTCTGTGTGAGTGAGTGTGTGTGTGTGTCTGTGTGAGTGAGTGTGTGTGTGTGTCTGTGTGAGTGAGTGTGTGTGTGTGTCTGTGTGAGTGAGTGTGTGTGTGTGTCTGTGTGAGTGAGTGTGTGTGTGTGTCTGTGTGAGTGAGTGTGTGTGTGTGTCTGTGTGAGTGAGTGTGTGTGTGTGTCTGTGTGAGTGAGTGTGTGTGTGTGTCTGTGTGAGTGAGTGTGTGTGTGTGTCTGTGTGAGTGAGTGTGTGTGTGTGTCTGTGTGAGTGAGTGTGTGTGTGTGTCTGTGTGAGTGAGTGTGTGTGTGTGTCTGTGTGAGTGAGTGTGTGTGTGTGTCTGTGTGAGTGAGTGTGTGTGTGTGTCTGTGTGAGTGAGTGTGTGTGTGTGTCTGTGTGAGTGAGTGTGTGTGTGTGTCTGTGTGAGTGAGTGTGTGTGTGTGTCTGTGTGAGTGAGTGTGTGTGTGTGTCTGTGTGAGTGAGTGTGTGTGTGTGTCTGTGTGAGTGAGTGTGTGTGTGTGTCTGTGTGAGTGAGTGTGTGTGTGTGTCTGTGTGAGTGAGTGTGTGTGTGTGTCTGTGTGAGTGAGTGTGTGTGTGTGTCTGTGTGAGTGAGTGTGTGTGTGTGTCTGTGTGAGTGAGTGTGTGTGTGTGTCTGTGTGAGTGAGTGTGTGTGTGTGTCTGTGTGAGTGAGTGTGTGTGTGTGTCTGTGTGAGTGAGTGTGTGTGTGTGTCTGTGTGAGTGAGTGTGTGTGTGTGTCTGTGTGAGTGAGTGTGTGTGTGTGTCTGTGTGAGTGAGTGTGTGTGTGTGTCTGTGTGAGTGAGTGTGTGTGTGTGTCTGTGTGAGTGAGTGTGTGTGTGTGTCTGTGTGAGTGAGTGTGTGTGTGTGTCTGTGTGAGTGAGTGTGTGTGTGTGTCTGTGTGAGTGAGTGTGTGTGTGTGTCTGTGTGAGTGAGTGTGTGTGTGTGTCTGTGTGAGTGAGTGTGTGTGTGTGTCTGTGTGAGTGAGTGTGTGTGTGTGTCTGTGTGA